AAAAAAAATCCTAAAGAGTAACACATTTAAAAACACATTTAAAAAGTCCACTACAAAGCTCGCCATTCTGTGTATGACCCTGCACAGCCCCTTTATTACATGTTACATGTACCTTCCATGCCTCTGTCTTCCTGTCTGTGGGTGGTAATGACAGGGTCGTTGTGGGGTTATACCGGTGGTGGGTGTGAACACGGAACCCATGCCCAGCGTGTAATGCACACTTGGTGAGCAGAGGCGGCTCTCTTGTTAATTGTTAATTGTTAATGCTGAGGCACCTGAGCCCTGGAACACCCTGTGCCTTTCTTCCCGGAACCTGCCTGCCCGAGCCAGGGCCTGAGCGAGCAGGAGAGCGATGGGGGAGGGCCGGTGCAGCCCTCTGTGGAGCTGGCTCCCCCCGGACATGCCGCACAGCTCGGAGGAGTAAAGTAGGGGCCAGTGGCGGAGCTGGTGATGGGAGGCGGGCGGCGAAGGCGAGTGCACAGTCTCCTCCAGGGCAGCGGTGCCCTGTGCTGAGCAGGTGGCTCCCCTCCGGACCCAGCCGGGAGCTTGGACGGGGAGGACATCGGCGTGGGTGGGCAGCATCGCTCCTCCTCAGAGCCACCCCCGAGGGCACCCCCTCCCGAGGGCACAAGCAAGGCATTTGGTTTTAGCTTCATGAGCTCTCTCTTTCATTTATGAAGAGGTAGCCAAGACAGGCCTGTTGGTCTTTAAGGCGAAGAAACTGTTGATTCAAGATGGACTGTTTCGAAAGCCTTACCTGCAATCTGGCAGAGCCGCTGCCCGCTTGCTTGTTTGCTTGCTTGCTTTCTTTCTTTCTATCTTTTCCTTCCTTCCTTCCTTCCTTTCTTCCTTCCTTCCTTCCTTCCCTCCTTCCTTCCTTCCTTCCTTCCTTTCTTCCTTCCTTCCTTCCTTCTTTCTTTCTTTCTTTCTCTTTATTTAAAAAAAATATATTTTATTGATTTTTTACAGAGAGGAAGGGAGAGGGATAGAGAGTTAGAAACATCGATGAGGGAGAAGCATCCATCAGCTGCCTCCTGCACATGCCCCACTGGGTATGTGCCCACAACTAAGATACATGCCCTTGACTGGAATCGAACCTGGGACCCTTGAGTCCGCAGGCCGACTCTCTATCCACTGAGCCACACCGGCTAGGGCAGCCACTGCCTGCTTTCTGACTTGTATCAAACCTGAGACGCGCGGCCCGTGGAGTGAGGGTGTTCCAGGCTCTCAGGCGCTGATCTTATTTGCGACCTCAGAACTCAGTTTGGGGCAGACAGGCTTGCTGCCTGAATCTAATCCCCCTCGTACCCTTGACGTCTGGTGTGCTTCCTCTCGTCTGGGAGGTGAGGGCTGGTCATGACACGTCTCCCGCGCTTCCATGGCTGGCGCCGGCTGTGCCCAGACACGAGAGCCTGGGGCCGCACCGCCGTGGTGGCCGCTGCTGCAGGGCGGGGGCTCGGCCACAGCGGCTGGGACCTGGGGAAACACCTGTGGAGGGAGGGGTTGTGCTTCACTTCCCACCACCGTCGCCTGCTGACCGGCTCCTGGCCGGCTAGTCTGGCAGCTGCCATGGTGCTCAGGGTGGTCACGCTTCCCTGCTGTGTGTGGTCCGCTCCCATGCCAGGAGTCCAGGGACTTTCTCTCCTCTTGTTACCGTCACTGCTGACCTTGTTTTGGGACATAACCCAGCTCTCAGCAGATGTTTCTTGGATGGACTGTCCTGAAACCTGCCCTCTTCGCGCTCATTAATTCAGCAGAGATTTGGGATCCTTAGCCCATGCCAGGCCCGTGGCCAGCGGTGTGTCCAGAGGCGGAGTGCGGGCCTGCCTGGCGCTCAGAGGCCTGTGCGAGCAGACGGGGCAGCTGCAGGCCCAGTGGTTTCAGGAAGAGTGTGGCCAAAGGGGCTGGGAGAAGGAGGGCTGCGGCTTCCTGGCAGAGCGCGACGGCTCCTCAGAGGAGGTGGCCTGGGAATGTCCCGGTGTGTCTCCTGGTGGCACCTGCTACCAGCTCCCCGGGCGCTGAAGGCAGGGGGACCTGGGTGTAGAGAACTGAGGGTGGCAGTGGAGGCTGGGGAGGCTGGCAGGCGGACCGGGCGGGCCCTGTGCCAGCGCAGGGAATTGAGGCTTAGTCTGTCTTTAGAGAGCGTGTGACTTGGAGGCGGGCCACCGGCAGCTGGCCTCCGGCGGGCTCCCGCAGCCCCCCGCAGCCTGCCTCGGAAGCACGCTCTCGGAGCGGAGCGCACGGCAGGTGCTCTGGAGGGCGGCTTCGGCGCTCTGGCACCGGTGGCACCAGGTGGCAGGGGTGAGGACAGGCGGTCTTGGCCCTTGCAGATTTTGGTTTTAGAGTGTGTTGCAAGCGGAAGTACTTCTTTCCTTTTAGGTTTCCCCGAAGGCTAACACCCTGGTCCTGAGGTTTAAGGAACTTAAACTGGACTTGGGACCAGCGGAGGCCTCCAAGGTGGCTCAGCGTCTCCCTCAGAAGAGGCCCTCGGCTGCTGTCCCCGGCCCCGCGGCCGAGAGAGAGAGACGGAGCGCAAGGTGCTCCTGCCACCCTGGCGTCAGCATTGCAGGCCATGTTCTGGCGGGGACCGGAGCGCTCAGTGTGGCTAACGGAGAGGAGAGTCTCGTTTATGGGGCACCACTGTGTGTCAGAGGCCGTGTGTGGTGTGCTGGCCCTTTCACCAAACCTCTGCCATTTATCCTCAGGTCTCCCTGGGACTCCTGTGGTATGGCCCATTCTCCTGCTGGGGAAGAGGGAAGTTGAGGCTCAGAAAGGTTGAGCATGCCCCTGAGGTTGCCCCAGCTGCTAAGGGGCAGACCTCTGCTCCCCTGAGGGCTTCCTGTTGGGGTGGGCTTTTCAGCTTTTCCCCAGCTTGACTGTGGGAGTGTTGATGGTGTTTTGATAATTCTAATTACCTTTGACATCTCCGAAGACTAGCTCTTAACGATGCGCTAAATATGTTCCTTACCATATTTTCCTTTAATTAAAAAGAAAAGAACTTCCAGGTTTGTGTATGCTGGACTCCCTCTGTGAGTGCCGGTCTTATTTCAGGGTTTCCCCGGAGCAGTCTCGGAGGCGGCTTGCTGTGGCCTTGCCCGGGAGTGGCTCCAGCCAGGAACAGGTGGGCCGGGGTGCTCAGCCCTCTCGGAGGATGAACTGAGTTTTTGCTCTGTAGGCTGGAGAACACTTTATGCAACATTTTTATAATTTCATTTTTGTGTTAAACTCTAATTTTGTCTGTAGCAGAGTGTGGTTCTGCCTTCCAAGAGAAGTTGCTAGCCAGTTAGCATAACATCATGGTTAGATCTTCCTCCGTCCTCCCTGGGTCACAGTTCAGGCTCTTGTGTGTAGTGCATCTGTTTCTGAATTCTGCCTCTCGATTTAGTCCTTCATATTTCTACTCTTTGCTCCAGAGCCGTACTGACTGGTTCCTTCCATCTCTGGCAGGGAGAGTAATCTCTCCTCCCTTTTCTGCTCTCAATGACTTTGCTTTTGCTGTGTTGACATTGAGAGGAGGGCCAGGCTTCTGGAGGGGGAGCAGGAAGGCTCTGTGTAAAAGCTACAACGGCCCCCGAAAGAAAGAGTGGTTATCATTGTTCTGCCGGCTCCAGAACCTTTCGCTAGCGCTGTTTGTGCCCGCCAGGCCGGGGCCGGGACCGGGCGGGGGCCGGGGGCCTAGTGAGTGCTGTTCTCCTGGCGCTTTGTTTCCTTCTCCCAAGACAGGAAGGCAGAGCTGGGAGTAGAACCCAGAGTCCCGTTCTCTGGGTTCTGCTCCATAGCTCAGATTTATTTTTATAAAAAATATCTCAATTTCAGAGAGGAAAGGAGAGGAAGAGAGAGATAGAAACATCAACGATGAGAGAATCATTGATATGCTGCCTCCTGCACACCCTCTACTGGGGATCAAGCCCACAACCCAGGCATGTGCCCTGACCAGGAATCAAACTGTGACCTCCTGGCTCATAGCTCAATGCTCAACCACACCAGCCGGGCCATAGGTCAGATTACAATGCAGCACCAGGTCTCTTTAGTTTTGAAATTTTAAAGGACAGTGGAAGGTGACAGAACATATGCCAGGGTCATCCAACCTCTGGGGCTGTGCTGTCCAGGCTGGTGCATCTCTCAGCCCCTCGCCCCACCCCCGACTTAAGCAGAGAACTGTCGGCAGGGTCCTGGATGTGTGTGTCACTGCGGCTTTGACTCTTCCCACTCAGGGCTTTATTGTAGGGCTATGGTATCTGTTTTCCTTTATGGTTTACCCAACCTCACTGAGCCAGCCTTCCGACCTGGCTTTCCTAACTGCAAACTAAGCCGTTCATCCACTAGGAACGGCCTACTTGGGGGTTAGCCCCATAGATCCCAGCCCTGCCGCTAAGTAGCAGTGTGATCTCGGGCCTGCTTCTTAACCACCCTGAGCCTCAGTTTCTTACCTCCGAGTCCTGAGTGAGTTAACTGAGACATTTGTGGAGGGCATGCTAAAGTGGGCATGGTTGTGGTAACCTCACTGCATGAGGCACATACAATTTATCTTCTTGTTTTCCAAAGCAAATTGATTGTTATGCTGTCTCAGAACAAGTAGAACCTTGACTTCTATATGGGTTGCGAATTCACGCACTTCTGACAGAGGCAGCCCGTTTGTCACCGAGAAGAACACTCACACACGAAAAAGCAAAGCCCTGTGCTGGCGCCGTCCTCATGCTGCCACTGTGTTCTCCTGGGGGTCGGCGGGTGACTGGTGGGTGGTGATGAGGATGGCAAAGATGACATTTAATATGTTTTTGCCCTGCGCGTATCCTTTGTGTTGTCTTCCTGCTATTTTACATCCCGATCGTTTATGTTACACTCTAGCATCTGGTCCTGATGAAAAGCTGGGTCTGGAGGACTTCTTCCAAGGCTCCCTGCTTTAAAGGGTGTCAGGACATTCGAGCTGGGCAGCAGAGGAGTGGCGTCTTTGGCTTTTGCGTCCACTGCCTAAATTCCCATGTTGATGTTTTTTCTAGTTTCTCCTTGGACCAAGATGACCGATGGAAACCTTTCCAGCTCTACAAATGGCGTGGCCTTGATGGGCATTCTGGATGGTCGGCCAGGAAACCATATTCAGAACCTGCAACACTTGAATCTCAAGGCGCCCAGATCCCTCTCGTTGCCGGAGTGTGGGTCCAAGCTGAAACTCGGGGCTCTAGACCAGCACAGCCTGCAGTCCGTGGACTCAGGCATTCCTACCCTAGAGATTGGCAACCCGGAGCCCGTCCCCTGCAGCGTGGTGCATGTGAAGAGGAAGCAGTCTGAGTCGGAGATCGTTCCTGAGCGGGCCTGCCAGAGCGCGTGCCCGCTGCCGTCCTACGCGCCACCAGCTCCCCCCAGCGCCGAGCGGGAGCAGAGTGTGCGGAAGTCCTCCACGTTCCCCAGGACGGGCTATGACTCGGTGAAGCTCTACAGCCCCACCTCCAAAGCCCTGAACCGCAGCGATGACGTGTCCGTCTGCAGCGTGTCCAGTCTCGGCACCGAGCTGTCCACCACCCTGTCCGTCAGTAATGAGGACATCTTGGACCTCATGGTCACGAGCAGCTCCAGTGCCATCGTGACCCTGGAGAATGTCGATGACCCACAGTTTACTGACGTCACCTTGAGCTCCATCAAGGAAACTCATGACCTACACCAGCAGGACTGTGCTGATGAAATTGCAGAGGGAAGTAAATTGAAAAAATTGGGACCATTTAGTAACTTCTTTACAAGGTAATGCCATCTTTCTCCCTCCAGAGGATGGAGGTGGTTGCCTTCATACCCATTGAACTGTTCTTGTCTGAAACGTGTGTGTGTCAGGAAGCCCTGGTGAGCAGGCCCCGTGTCAGGCAGGTGAGCAGGCCTTCCCCGGTAGCCCAGGGTCCTGTGGGGTGTTGCTGGACTGGTCTGTGCGATGCTGCTTTTTGATTCCTCGCTGTTAGCTGCCACTTCTGTGTCCCTGGCTCTCTCGCACAGTCTGTTATCACTTCCCGCCCCTGACCTGCTACGGCTGAGGGTGACCCACAAGTGGTCCGTGTTACCAAATTAGCAGCCGTTGTCAGCCCGATTCTCTGAAGGGCCCTCTATGCTAACACCTTGAGTCTCCCAGGGCAACCAGAGGGTGCTGATGTGGTTGATGTCAGAGTTAGTAACCCACATTCCTAACTCCAGCCCCTGTTTGCATGACCCAGGCCTGGTATTTCTGGGTGTCTGTCGCTGCTGAGATGTGTGCTGTCACCTGTGTTGGGACTAGGCCCTGCACCCTCCTCCCCATGGTGCCCTGTCACTCAGGAACCAAACCAGGGCTGCTGGCTCCCTGGGTCTCACCACGAGCCCTGAGGGGACAGCTTCGGCCTCTTCTCTGTGCGTTTGTGCTTTCATTCAGCACGTGTCCTGACCTAGGCTCTGCTCTTGGCAGGTGACACAGGAGTAATGCGGTGGTAGGAATGGCGAGCAGTAATGGCCGTCGGTGGGCTTACAGCGGTGGGAGTAGGCACAACAGTCAGTCTCACAGCAAGTGGGAGTGCTGTGAGGAGGGCGCGGCTGTGAGAGGCTGTGTGGAGAGCGGTCCTTTGCTCACAGCTGCTCTGCAGAGGGCCCTGGCCCAGGGCTTAGCAGGTGGGAGCATTCCTGCGGTTGACACTGGCTGCCCCATGTGTATGGCCCCAGCAAAACCCATGCTGGGCACTGCATACAGGGCGTTCCTTCCAGATGGTGCGATGTGCTGGCATCAGGCGTCTGTGACCATGGGCACGCATGCCAGCCTGTCGCTGCCTCAGCTGCTCCATCAGCTGAATGTGGGGGCCCTTACAGATGAGTTCAGGACCTGTCCTGAGGGAGCCCTCTGACCAGGGCAGTGTTTTGGGGGCACCTTTTCTCTGATGTGCTGACAGACAGGCCTGGGGCTCCCAGAGCAGCGTTCCTGGTCTCAGAGTGCATCACTCAGCCATTGCCCTCGTGGGGAGGGACCGGGAATATTGGGGGAGACTCACTCTCCCTGTGAGGCAGGTCCTAAGGTGGTGTAGTGGCAGTTCAGGCTGGTGTGGCTGCACTGACCCCTCTACTCAGGCCAGGGTTTCAGCGTTTCCTGTTTACGGTCCCCCTGGGTGCCTGTGCAGGCTCCTCAGGATCCTTCCCTGAGCTTCAGAATCAGGACCTCAGCGGAAGGCCCGGGGGATAGGCTTTCAGAATCCCTTGGGGTTCTTGGCAAATTTGGGAAACCTTGCTCACAATGAGGGTGGTTGCCTAGCACGTGGTGCTGCAGTGCTCATGTATGGGTGTGCTCTTACCTTTGTCATCCTCTACACCCTTGTAGTTATGGGGCAGAAGTGGGTCACACATGTGAAACAGCACAGACCCAGGCAAGTGTGAACAGCACAGACCCAGGCAAGTGTGAACAGCACAGATCCAGACAAGTGTGAAGCAGTGCCGACGGAGCAAGCCTTGAAGTCTCAGTTGCTTGTTGTGATTCTCCTGACTGCCTTGTCTCTGTCTGTTTCGGAGCCTCTTCTGTGCGATCATTTCTAAAGCTGCTGGTTCTTGAAAATCCTTTTCGGCTGTTTGCCGCCAAAATCAGATGTCGCTTCTTTGCTTTATTCCTTGCTTCTTGTCTCCTTATCCTTGTTCTGATGGCTGAGACATTTTCGTGAGCCATCATTAAGTAGCTGTGGGAAGCTAGTGGAATATTAATGACAGAAGAGTCAAATATGAAATCATGGGCATGTCTAGTGAGTTCTGTCCTGCAATCTTCAAGTATTAGAGGAGAGCGTTAATCTAGATTTCCTTTGAAGAGGAGAGGGCTCTGTGCCAAAATGTTTGGAACCTAAAGATTTTACAGGGAGGAAATGTACGGGGAGCTCCAGAGAGGGCCTGGCACACAGCAGGTACTCAGAGGACTGCAGGCTTTGGGAGTTTCTGTTGAGGGCAGGTCCTTTGGGGTTCCCAGCCCAGGCTCCTGAGTCATCTTGTTTCTTCACTTTATCCCCTGAGCCCAAGTGACTCTCTTCCCTAGCGCCTGTCTGTTCTCTTGTCCTCACTGAGTCAAGTTCTAGGTTGTGGAAGGAAGCATAGGCAGGATCGTGGGAGGCTAGACTAGGACAAAGGGGCTCAGGGGGAGGAAGGGGTGGAGATGGTTCGGAGCCTGTGGCCTAGAAGCAGGCCTGTTGGTGACTCCTGCTGTTTGAGGAGGGTGGCCTGGAGGACAGGGGGCAGACGAGTAGGAGGAAGGCGGGCTTGGGCCTGGCCACCGCTCTCACTTTTCCCTTTCATTCAGGCTGTGACAAGCATCCCTGGGGCAGACTCCGCTCTGGGCTTAGAATAGGCCCTGCCCTCAAGGAGCTTACTGCTGGAGGGGAAGACAGACAGACACTGTGGGGCAGGGCGAGGTCCGTGGTCCAGAGCACTGGTTCAGGGGTCAGGTTGGCTGGGTTCAATGTGAGCGCTCTTACTTCATAGCTGTGTGACTTTCGGCAAGTTACTTCACCTCTCTGAGCCTTAAATGGAGCATAAAACTACTGTGCAAGGTTAGAGATCAAATAGGTAAAGCATCCAGCTACTTCTTGAGAATACCTAAGTAGTAGCCACCTATGATTCCAATAGAAATGATTATCATTTCTAAAAAACGATTTCCAAAGCCTTTTCTAGTTCTTGTCCCGACATTATGCTTACTCCAGTCCACTCATGAAAAAGTTGCCTCAAGATTTCCCCACTTTGGCATTGTTGGCATGGTGGGGTGGGTGAATTTCTGTGCACAGACGGCTGTTTGGCAGCCTCCCTGGCCTCTGCCCACTAGATGCCTGTCACAGCCCGGTTTTGACAGTGAAAAATGCCCTTGGACATTGCTGAATGCCCTAGGGAGGGGTCAGAATCACCCTCCTTTAGGAACCACTGAGCTAGCAGGTTGTAAATGTTGGGATTTGATTGCTTCCTTGGAGGAAATTGACAACTGTCTTTCCGTTGGAGCAGGATCCTCACTGTGGATGGAGGGATCTGTGCGCCCAGTGTGGGTATCAGTATGTCTGTGGGAGCCCAGGCACAGCGGCGAGAGGAGCTCAGCGCACACTTGAATGGCACAGGAGGCGGCTGCTTCTGAGCAGCCCGGGGTTGGGCTGCTAATCGGCTCTGGTCTGGAGGGTGGAGATTAGCTCTGACCACTCACGTCTTCTTCTGTGTAACCGTTTATTAAGCTCTAGAAGAGGCGCTCCGAGTACCCTTGCTGACGAGAGATGCTAGGATGGAAAGAAGGGGCTTGCCAGGGGGAGACCCAGGCAGAAGGAATAGCTCTCGGAAGGCCGGGGGTGGTGGTAGGGCGGGTGGGTAGGGAGTGTGTGTGTGCATGCACCTGGCTGTGTTTGAAGAACTGTAATGATGTGTTTTTCCGGTCTGCTTCCTGGCTGAGGGCCCCTGGGGGCACGATCTATGGTTCACCCTGGCATCAAGTTGTAAACCAGAGATAGAGGCGATGAGTGTGGTGGTCAAGAGCCGAGCTGCTCAGACCCAGGTTTGAACGACAGTTCTGCTATTTTTGCCCTGTGACATCAAGAAACTCATTTAACCTCTGTGATCCCCGGGGGTACAGGATGACATGAGTTAAATGTTCCTCCTGTAAAGAGTTGGTGTGAGGGTCAAACGAGATAATACAGTAAAGCTTTGGGCACTGGCCAGGAATGCAGGTTGGATTTCTGGCCTGGCGTTCTGCCTTTGTAGTTTGGGGTTTCACATAAGAGTTCACTTTTTTAAAAAAGGCCCAGCTGTATGAACAAGGCCCTGCGGCATGAACAGTTTGAAACCATCAGGTTAGGAAATAAGTCCCGGCTGTGGAGCATTTGCTGTGAAAGCGCTCAAGCAAAATGTTAGTTCCTGTTCTGACCTGGGCTCTGGGTTGTGATTATTTGGAGGTGACATGAGCGGTGCTGAGGGAGAAATGTGCTCTTCGCTTCCTTTTGAGGGTGAGTTAGCTCATGAGCAGGCGGGTGCCCTCAGAGGTGCCATTCTCGGACTTCCATGCGGTCCCTTTCTCACTGCCAGCAGCCTGAGAGCGTGGGTGGCCGGTCTGTGGCTGGCTTGTTCCTGCTCCGGACCGCTTTCCTCCGGGTGCCTCCCGCACTCTGCCAGCCGGAGCCTGAAACACGTGCGTTTCCCGCAGTCTCTTGCCGTGGGGTTCTGGGTGTGAGTTGGGGGCCATGTGGGAGGGATTGGAAGTTTGACGGAGACACTTCTCCCCCTCGGGCTGGTTTCTCCATCCATTGCTGCCATGGGGCGGGAGGCTCTGCTGTAGCAGCACCCTGCGGTGACGCTGGGTGGATGAGTGGCTGCAGGCTGTGGTGGCTTCCTGACCGCTGCGCCCTGGAGTTCCTTAGTCCAGGGCAGCTCAGATGCGGCAGCTCTATCCAGGGAGCCATCCCCGGGGCCCAGTTTAGAGCTGATGCCTTCAGCCCTTACAGGGATCTCAAAATCATCTAACTCCTTGAGTTCAGTCCCTTCCTGCTTGAAGTTCCTGGGGTAGCTTCTGAATCCACACTGAGAGCAGGTGGGTTCAGGTAGGCACTGCAGATAATTCTCATTTCGGTGGGCTCTCCTCCTGTGGCTCCCTGGCTCCCAGCCCGTGCCCTTGCGGGACCGTGTCTCACTCATCTCATGCTGGCACCTAGCAGGAACTCGGTAATGCTTCTCAGTGAATTCAGGTGCCATTCATTTCCTTGGTGATAATATCCAGGACCCGGTGCAGCGGACAG